CCTTTCTACTTAAATCTCTTAACAAGTATCAGTAAAACGCTTTCTCTTCTGCCACTCCTCCAAACCCTCAGGGGCCAGGGACGTCTCTGAGGCCCGGAGCTTCTAAGCCTGCCCTGCCTCCTCATTTTAGTGCAGGCAGTACCCTCGGCACTTCAGAGACTCCAGAGCCACAAAAAGCACTGGAGGTATGGTTGGAGGGTGTGTAGGACTAGGAGCAGCTCCTCCCAAGGTGCACTGAAGGGCTTTTCTGCTGTTTCCTGGCATGTGCTCCGGGCAGCAGGTGAATATCAGAGCCTCTTGATCACACCTGTGAAGAAGGAATCAGCGGTTCCTGCTGCCTTCAGCCACCAGGTGAGATGCCCCAGCGTTGTTCTTTGGGCATAAAGGCAAGAAGCCTCCGTGAACACCTCTGGCACAGAGATGTTGACTGTTTTTGGAGACATCAACAAATTTAAGCATCAGGGGTACTGACGAAGAGGTGGTAACTATAATTGCACCTAGAAGTGAAATATTAGTAACGATGCATGGCCCATCTAAGTGGTTTCCTGAGGACCAGTTAGGGTGGGAACAGACATTCTGTCTGACTTCAAAAATGTTAACCATGATTTTATACCGTTTCAAGGAGGGCTGGCATGCAGGGGTCCCTGTTGTATGGATTCAGCTCATTCTAGGGAAAGACTGAGCACTCCTATATCCCAGAATAGACAAGCAAGATTAAGCATATTGAGCATCCTTCCTAGAGTCATCGTTCTTCCAGTGCCTTTAGAATAAAGGGCCCTGTAAGTCGATATGCAGGCAGCCCCTGCTGCTTGGCATTTTTGTATGCATCCTTCGTTCCTATTTTTTACTGAGTTTGTTCCTTGACAAGTGTTACAAGTTTAAAGTGGGTTCTAATTAGTGTAAAATTCCTACCCTCTCTAAAGTCCCTCCGACCCCTGTTGGTTAACCCTCTCCTCCCTATAATTCCCTTTCAAAAATTCATGATTCTTTAACCTGTCCATTGGAACCAGTTGGGCATCTCAGTAGTTTGAAACTGAAGACAATGATCAGCCCTTTTCCAAAAAAAAAAAATCCACCAGTAGCCAATATTTCAGCTAATGACCCTGCTTCTTAAATGGCAATAGAGTGAAGTGGCCTTTAAAGACTTCTGCTTTCTCATGAGAGAAAGTCTCAATTTCGTTTACAACAGATATAGTTTATATAACTCAGAATCCAAGTTCTCTCTGTGTTATGTTCCCTCTTCATCGACAGGGGAAACAATTCAAGATACAGATTGATATCTCAACAGTTTTAACGACAAAAATTTATTTTGTGTGTGTGTGTGTGTGTGTGTGTGTGTGTGTGTGTCTGTATCTGTGCCAGTGATTCTGGGTGGGGTTGGAGCTAGAGTCACCTGTGTTTGTGAGCTGCCTGACATGGGTACTAGGAACTGAACTCAAGTCCTCTGCAAAAGCAGTAAGTTCTCTTAACCTCTGAGCCATCTCTTTAGCTTCTGGTATCCTTACTGAAAAGAAAAATAGAACACTGAGGCATGAAATGTTCAAGGAAGTAAACAGAAAGCACCATGGCCCCAACTCCTGTAGGGACTGGACTCATTCATATCCATCACTCTATTCCCTTACTTCTGACAGGAGCTGTTGGAAGACGGCACAGGCTCACACATGTATTTTCAGTTGAATCAGTTTTCACATGGTCTAGCTCTTGGATTCAGGGTGCTGTGGTGGCCCTTTGGGGGTACTCTTACAGCCATTCTCACAGTCATATAGGGAAACCTAAGTACTCCTGGGTCATCAATCAGACTGTGCAGCCACAAAAAGGACCCACACAAGAGGAGAGTGTGGAGTTGGTACTACAAGATCAGAGGCAGATACTGGCAGGAGTAGGGTGTAAACAAGCTCAGTGGAGGGGAAGGACCAAGGAGGAGGAGACCATTTCACATGCTCTTGAAAATGCAGACAATTTCTGTCACCCATTAATCAACCTGTGAAGGTGTGTGTGTGTGTGTGTGTGTGTGTGTGTGTGTGTGTGTGTACACCGGATAAGTGTTATGTAAGTCTGAATCCATGCCGAGTGTCTTCTTCTATTTCTCTCCAACTTGAGTTTTGAGACACGTTTTCTAGGTGAACATGGAGACGACCAATTAGCTGGTCCAGCTAGGGAGCTCCGGGTATCCATCCTCTAGTTCCACTCGCAGGGCGAAGGTTACAGGAGCATGCCACCACACATGCCACCACACCAAGTGTTTACCTGCCCAGTGTTTCTCACACTTCCTGCTCCTCAGACTCCAAGAGGATCTGTCTCAAAACCTTTCCTTGGCTGTTGTGAATAGAGCATCAGTGAGCTTGGGTGAGCAGGCACCTCTGTGGTAGGATGTAGAAACCTTGTGAAAAGTATGGCTGTGTCTTATGACAGATCTAATCGTCTCCTTTTGAGGAATCTCCCCGTTGATTTCTTGTTAACACATTCACTAACAGCAAACAAGTGTTTCCCTTTCCTCACTGCCATGACAGCGTTTGTTGCAAAACAATAAAATAAAATTGAAAGTCTTAACCGTTCTGATTGGGGTAAGATGAAATCTCCAAGTAGTTTAAGTTTACATCTCTCTGATCACTAAGGATGCTGAACATTTTTTTTAAAAAATACCTCGTGGCCATTTCTATTTCTTCTTTCGAGAATTCTATTTGTCTCCAAAGTCTATTTTTATTTTTAAAATATGTATTAGTCCCTTGAGAACTTCAGAGAATGTTTTAGTCATATCCACCCCTCTCCCAACTCCTCCCATAGATACTCCTACTCACCCATTTTCATTTATACCAATTAAATCTAATCGGTTTTGCCCAGGCATTTTTCTATGTGTGGCCTTCTACTGGAGCATGGTCAGCTTACCAGGACCCACACTCTTAACAAAAACGGAATCCTCCTTTCTCAGAAGCCACCAGTTGCCAGCAGCTCCTCTCCTGGGGATGAGACTTCATGCCCAACTCTCCTCTTCTTGTCGGGAGCTTGCCCAGCTTGAGCTTACACAGGTCTTAGGCATGCTGTTCCAACTCCAGCCAGTTCACACGTGCAACTGTCGCATGCAATGAGTCTGGAGGACAATGTGTCCTTGGCTCATCCACTGCCACTGCCCCATTCCCCTCCCCAAAAATATTGTATAAATGTATGAAATTCTCAAAGAATAAATGAGACTGGAGGGTGGCTAAACAGCTCTGTGGGTAAAGTCTTTTGCCACCAAAACTGATGATGTCAGTTTAATTCCTAGGATCCACAGAGTGGAGAAAGGAATAGACCCGTGCAAGCTGTCCTCTGACCTCCACTCATGCTCACACACGCAAACCCAAGATACTCACTGGAATGTAGTGACTTTTAAGGGTAGTATGGGCTGCAGAGATGGCTCACGGGTCAAGAGCATGCACTGCTCTCGAAGGGAACACAACGTCCACATTGGATGGTGCACAACCACCTGTAACTCCAGCTGCAGGGGTCCAATGTCTCTGGACTCCTTGGGCACCTGCACTCACAAGACCACATACCCTCAAACAAGCACCTAATTAAAAATAAAAGTAAATCTTTAAAAATAAAAGAGTAAGACTGAGTGGTGCTGGCGGTGGCGCACGCCTTTCATCCCAGCTCTCAGGAGGCAGAGGCAGGTGGATCTCTGTGAGTTCAAGGCCAGCCTGGTCTACAGAGTGATTTTCAGGACTTCACGGAGAAATCCTGTCTCACAAAAGAAAAAAAAAAGTGTATACTACCAAAACACAAAAAAAATGCTTTCCACCTCTAATATTCAAATGCAGAGTCTGTGTCAATTTTAAGAAGATGGGGTTTGAAAATAATCCATGTTCACACTAGTTTGTCTAAGTCAATGTCTGAACGCTGGAAATTCTGCAGGAACTAAAGAAGGGAAAAGGCACCAGGGTGTGGAAGGGGAATGTGTGCCTTGGAGTACAAAGCGGGTCCCAGCTCTAGCAGTGTGGCTCTCTCTGTGTTTTAAGGAAGTTGTTTATTTCTCTGAAGCCACTCCCTCACCAACAAAGATGGTGGGAGTCGTATCTCCATGGAGATTTTATGGAAATACAGAGAGGCGCACATGGAAAGAACTAGAACAACAATCAACTCTCAGAAATAAAATAGAACTAGGTGTGCAGTGTTCGTGCCACTGCTTGGTGTG